AATGGGTATTAGGGAAAAAGCAAGCTTTGATATCTTTATCTGACAAGAGGGACTTGGCTTTACTTGGCAATGGTCTGCAAGAGTTGGGGTATGTGTTCTTCACAACTCTCTTACTTAGAACCTATACAGAAGATTTGAGTTCTGTTTTTCTATATTAAATCTTTATGAATATTTGCCTTTAGATTCACTATTGTTTCTACTGGAGGAACTGCCTCTACTTTGGAGAAGGCTGGCGTCTCTGTGACCAAAGTGGAGATGCTTACTCATTTCCCAGAAATGGCAAGTCACATGATTCAGTTTTGGTTTTGTGTTCTCGTTACTGTTCTTCAAAGATTTCGACAAACAAAAGGCCGATGTCAAATGGACTTGTTACTTTCTCAATGATTATACCATTTGATTTGTTGAGTTTAGTATATTAATTATAGCTCCTCCTTTTTGTTTTTTTCGTCTCAAAAAGCTTGATGGCCGTGTGAAGACGTTGCACCCAAACATACACGGAGGTATCCTCGCTAGAAGAGATGTTGAGCATCATATGGAAGCTCTTAATGAGCATGGGATTGGTGGGTTTTTACATTAGATTTGCCCTCTATGTTCTAAGGTTGAAATTAAGTCATCTGTAGCATCTCCTTAATGCTAAACTGCATCTTTGCTTTTTTTATTATGTATTCAATTACAGGTACATTTGATGTAGTGGTTGTCAATTTGTATCCGTTCTACGGCAAAGTTACTGCTCCAGGTGGGATCAGTTTTGAGGATGGGATTGAGAACATCGACATTGGTGGTCCTGCTNTGATTAGAGCAGCTGCTAAGGTAATGCATGTCTATGCATATGAGACTTATACTTTATGTTCATTTCAAGATTGTAAGTGTACTTTTTCTATGTTGTTGGACAGAACCACAAAGACGTTCTCATTGTCGTCGATTCAGAGGATTATCAAGCTGTTCTGGAGTATCTCAAAGGAGGACAGAGCGACCAACAATTCCGCAGAAAACTTGCGTGGAAGGCTTTTCAGCATGTTGCTGCATATGATTCTGCGGTTTCAGAATGGCTATGGAAGCAGACTGAAGGAAGTATGTGTTCTTTTTATGTGATTCTCCTAATACTACTTATGCCAATTGGACCGTGCTTCGGCATGAATATACTAAAAATAAACTTGTTTTAAAAATCATGATATATTGTCTGTCCACCTTTTAGTGACTTACGTCGATTGCTATTCTTGTCTTTCTCAGAAGAGAAGTTCCCTCCCAGCTTTACAGTTCCGCTTTCACTTAAGAGTTCTCTTCGTTATGGTGAAAATCCTCATCAAAAGGCTGCATTTTATGTTGATAAGAGCCTTGCTGAAGTGAATGCCGGTGGTATCGCAACAGCGATTCAGCACCATGGAAAGGTGATAAACTTTTACTCGTCATAGTTGGAAAAGTATGTGACTTGTAGTTTTCATTGAATATATCGACAAATGGTCATAGTTTTCAGCTGCCATTTAAGTTTCTGTCTTTACCCTTGCCCTGGCAGACAATTAATTATACATGACATTGTTTCTTTTTCTCTCTGCAGGAGATGTCATACAATAACTATCTTGATGCTGATGCTGCGTGGAACTGTGTATCTGAATTTGAAAACCCAACATGTGTAGTTGTGAAGCATACCAATCCTTGTGGTGTTGCCTCTCGCAGTGATATTCTTGAGGCTTACCGGCTAGCTGTAAAAGCTGACCCAGTTAGTGCCTTTGGTGGTATTGTAGCCTTCAATGTCGAAGTCGATGAGGTAATAAAAGTAGTGTTAGCCCCATAGTGTATTCAATTGTTTAGTGATCTATATTTGTCTCTAGGTTCTTGCAAGGGAGATCCGAGAATTCAGGAGCCCAACAGACGGGGAAACTAGAATGTTTTATGAAATTGTGGTTGCTCCAAAGTATACTGCTAAAGGTCTTGAAGTCCTCAAAGGAAAATCGAAAACTTTGAGGATCCTCGAGGCTAAAAAGAATGAGCAAGGGAAGCTATCGCTCAGACAGGTTGGTGGTGGCTGGTTAGCTCAGGACTCAGACGACTTAACTCCAGAAGACATCAGTTTCAATTCTGTCTCAGATAAAACTCCAACTGAAAGCGAGCTTGCTGATGCCAAATTTGCATGGCTCTGCGTTAAGCATGTCAAGAGCAATGCCATTGTCATAGCAAAGGTTGGGATTTTTCTCTCTGATTCCCTTTTTTTTTCTTTCCATACTTCTCTATTCTAAATACTTTGTCTTCTGCGTGAAGAACAACTGTATGTTGGGGATGGGAAGCGGACAACCAAACCGAGTAGAAAGTCTAAGAATAGCTTTCCGGAAAGCTGGCGAGGAAGCCAAAGGAGCTGCCTTAGCCAGTGACGCATTCTTCCCATTCGGTATATATACTCCCCTAAACCATTCTTCTGTTTGAAATGACTCATCAGTCAACAAATTTGCTCACCGATCTGACTATAGTTACGATGAAGCAGAAGTAGTGACCAAAGCCTGTAATGTCAAACATTCAGTGGTATTGGAGAATGGTTTTAATAAGAAAGAGATCCGATTTTTGTTCTATGAATGGCAGCTTGGAAAGACGCAGTGGAAGAGGCGTGCGAGAAGGGAATAGGAGTGATAGCAGAACCTGGAGGTAGTATTAGAGACCAAGACGCCATTGATTGCTGCAACAAGTATGGAGTCTCTCTGCTCTTCACCAACGTTAGACATTTCCGCCATTAACGAAGGATCCTCTAATTTCGCTCTTATAAGAAGAAATTCTGAAGAAGAAAACCCACCAAACAAAAAAAAACAAAACAGTGTGGAATATGTTATGTTGTAGCATTTTGATTCGAGTACGTTCGACTTTTTGTATGCTTAGAACCTGAGAGCTGTTCCTACAGATAAATTCAACATTTTTACCCAAAAAATCATATTTTTATCATAAACCCAGAAACTCAAAATCAGACTCAGAAAATTCGGCGACTGTGAAGAGGGAGAGAAATGGCGACTGGGAAAGTGGTGGTGGAGAAAGTCGAAGGAAAGTCAACGGCTACGAGTTGCTTCTCTAAGTATCCTCTCAAGTTTATACTTCCTCGCAAGGTTCGAATCTATTCACAGATTCAATTCTTAAATCTCCGATACTGAACTTTTCACTTTTCAGGTAGCTCCTGCCGGAACTGACGTTGTCTGGATTTACAGCATCACTTATGGTGGAGGCAT